CATCCGACCGATAAATAATAAAATCTACAACTAACTGCTAATTAAAGTGATTTATCAGAAAACCCCAACATTGTTTATACATAATGCATTGTTGATCCAAAGCATTTAACATGAACTGTCATCAGTGCCGGTATTGCGGGGCCCTGTACATATGTACCATTTGTCCTCCCCTAGCGATGACACTGACTGTCATTCTTAACACATCAAGCGAATATTGGAATATCAAATGAACGTGTAATAGTCACGAAAGTATAAATTCCTTTAATTTTTTTAAACACTATGGTTCTAGATTATGAATATTTAAGAAACTCGGGTTGTTTATTTATTATTCAATACAACGCCTTTAAAAACATACATAATACACGATAACTCTTGCATAATTATAATATGGTGACTGCCCTAAAAAAACGTTTTTTTACCTACTTATAACTTAACGGCATACGTATACGAATTTTGCTAATAATATTCACCATCGATAGGTATAACTGTTTAGTGATATCATAAATTACCACATACATAAATATAATATACCAACACTCAATAGTGTAATATATCACTTAGAGTAAATGGTAAAAAAACTCAGAAAAAAAGCATCTAGTACCGCTGCTGAAAAATATTAAAAATTATTAAAATATAGGGTTAACGGTCAAGTCCCACAGGAGGGCCTATGGGTAATCAAATGAGCCGTATATTTGCCTACTACAAAATAAATCAACTTTTAATTTTTAAATAAATATTTATAGTGTGAAGTGGGTTAACAATAAACAATCATTAAGACATAACAAATAACAAAAGTTATTAATGTTATAAGCCCTGTGCTGAAAAACAAATTACGACACGCTACTAATTTATATTTCCTAAAAAATTTGTAGGTACATAACTAAAATAGATTAATATATTTTTAGATGTTAAAATGAATGGAAAAAATATTGTTACACGATATTCTGATTATAAGCCAAATTATACTATAGTTTTAATTTTTTTTTCATCAAATATATAAATGTAAAACACATATTAAACATTGAATTTAAATTATTACTAAAAGTACAATCTTCAGGAATATTAATTGATAAGAAAAATAAAAAAATGTATACATTAGTTTAGGAACATGACCAACCATTAATTGCTTTAAGGTTACATTGTGTTTTAAAATCAGTATTAGTAAATTGCTTTAGTTTATACATGTAAGTTATTACAACTAAAATAGCTTTACTAAGATTTGATTGTTCTAATTTACCGTTCAGGCAATCGCATCTTAAAATATTCTATTGTCAATCGGGCTGTGGTGTTTACACCATTATTTAATTTTCGTATTTAAAAAGCACCAAAAGTCACGGTGTTAACACTATGTGTGTGAGCGCATAGATATTAAAAAATGAGAAAAAAAAGTTAGATTTGCCGTTGACTATTGTTTGGATGTGTTATTAAATCATACAAAATAATACTAATATGCCTTTGTTCATCAACCAACCATTAATATTTTAAAGAAAATATTTGATATAATATTTACAAATAATAGTCAAGCATCAAGTTTTAGTTTCATTTTATATTTCATCATACAATTTCCGTAATGCATTAAAATGCAGGATAATTCGGGTAAGATAATACAAATATATAAAATAACTAAAAGCTTGACATTTCAACTACTATAATAAAAAATTATAATCAAATATAAAGTATAATAATCTATCAGTTTATATGAAAAGCTACATATCAACAAAGTTCGCAAACCATCACATCTTACTTAAGCCTACGTTAAAAAAAAGAGTAATCAATTTTACATATTATGAAATAACTTTTAAGTAAAAAAACCTACTGTTTTAAACATTTTAATAATATTGCTAATAAAAAATGCTTTTATGAGTTTATATTAATCTTCAAAGATTCCAAGTGGAAAGAAACAATAATTATAATACATCTTCATCTAAAGCAAAATACATTTTATAATTATTCTTAGCCTACATCTTTTAACACACATAAGATATCAAGTCTAAAACAATATTATTATTGTTTATGTTTTATGCAAGTCACGCTGCACGCGCTTTTATTTGTTCATTTTTGGTTATTGTTGAATCATAACCATACCGTCAAAATATGGGGATTAAAGAATTTCGTTGCAGGTATTGTCTACTGATAAGATATGTGAAAAATTGAGTAGGCGTGTATAAACGGTCAAGGTTTCCGACCATAAGTAGGTTAAGAACCGCCTCTCCACATAATATAAAAAAAAAAAAAATAAGGAGTGTTATTAATGTCTGGTTATCGGTTTTGCGAAGGGGTTGATAATATTATTTAATAGGAAGTAACATGTTACCTGTGTTGAAAACCCCAATGAATATTGATCGAAATTTTAAATATTTATAACGTAATAAGTAACGAACCGTTAGAAGAAAATTAAAAATTCAAACGACTATACTGAAATTTAATTGTATGCTACACGTGTATCGAGTTAATAATAGTTGGTCCCATTTAGAAAAACGAAGTCACTAATCGCTGAACATATAAGAGAAGAAGTTAAAAATGCTCACGGTATTGAAAAGTAAATTACGAACCATAAAGAATAGAAAATATTTGGATCACCCTGTATTGTTATTTGTATTTTTTAATCCCATACAGAAAAGAAATGTGAACATATTTTTCCTTATGTTTTAAATAGTTTTGGCCGTCAAGTGTTCCGAAAGTGTGATTTTAAAAATATTGTTATAAAACTATATTTGTTCTGATTCGATCAGGTCTAGATTTTATGTTACAGCTACTACCAGTACAATTTAATGTTTATCGTTTTGGATTAATTTTTTTATTTAAGGGGTATTGTTTTCCTGTAAAATGGTTGTATTTTATATTTGTCAAGTTAAGTGATTCTTGAATAATGTCAAGAAAGACTAAAAATGACCCTGACAAATTTCGTAATACCTGTGGTGAAATTATATGAATATTATTTTGGCTTTCCTGTCGGGCAACAAGACAAATTATATTAGTTTTCATGTTACACACAAAAAGTAAAATGTTGTTGACTAGTGATATTAAGTCTAGTTTATTCATTTAAATTTGTTATAACTAAGTGCTTAGCTGTCAAAAATACCATTTATTCAATAATTGAACGACTTGTGTAAGTGTATAAAAACTATTATTAACTAATAATAGTTGGTCCTATTTAGAAAAACGAAATTATGAACCATAAAGAATAGAAAAAAATTTGGATCACCCTGTATTGTTATTTGTATTTTTTAATCACATACAGAAAAGAAATGTGAACATATTTTTCCTTATGTTTTAAATAGTTTTGGTCGTCAAGTGTTCCGAACGTGTGATTTAAAAAATATAGTTATATCAGGATTTATGAGATATTTAAAAAAATTCATATGTATACTTGTATGTTATGTATATGATATAGATATGTATATTCTTGTTATAAAACTATATTTGTTCTGATTCGAACAGGTCTAGATTTTATGTTACAGCTACTACTAGTAAAATTTAATGTTCATCGTTTTGGCTTACTTTTTTTATTCAAGGGGTATTGTTTTCCTGTATAGTGGTTGTGTTTTATGTTTGTCAAGTTAAGTGATTCTTGAATAATGTCAAGAAAGACATAAAATGACCCTGACAAACTTCGTAATACGTGTGGTGAAATTATATGAAATATTCTTTTGGTTTTCTTGTCGGGCAACAAGACAAATTATATTAGTTTTCATGTTACACACAAAAAGTAAAATGTTGTTGACTAGTGATATTAAGTCTAGTTTATTAATTTAAATTTGCTATAACTAAATGCTTAGCTGTCGAAAATACCATTTATTCAATAATTAAACGACATGTGTAAGTGTATAAAAACTGAAAAAATAACGTGATGAGACCTAATGAAGAACGCTATTCTTTTGTGTAGCTAAATTGCCTACTCTCGACCCCGTGTTTCAACAAATTGTGTTTCTTATCGACTGATCGCAAACTATATCATAGTACTGTAATGATTATATTGTATGCACTAAAAATCACATACTTGCACACAATTAAATAATGTTATTTTACAAAATGTAAGTTTTTTTATATTCTATAATCAATTGTATGCACAAATACTAATATCACACACATTTATCAATTATTTTTATATTATTTTTAGTATAATTTTTATATAAAAAGTATAAATGGATATCTTAAATAAAAATGACACATAAGATACGCTGACTCAGACTTTACGCATGGATGATTTCATACGAGGGGACATTTTTATATCTCCCCCCCCCTGATGACGCACATCCACCCCTATAAGACAAGCAACAGGTTTGCCGTTCAGCCAGTACATCCAGTAGATCCAGTAGAGCTAGTAGCCTCAGTAGTCATCGTGATTCCGGTGGCTTAAGTTGTCTGGCCACGCTCGTCTGCAACTTACTAATTATTTAATTGATAAAACATGTTGAGTGTGGTCAGATGATTTCCACTTAATCGTTTATGGTCTGATCCAGCGTATTTTCAAAGTCGTATGCACAACAAAACATTGTGTTCATTTATTGTTCTATTTAATAATTCATCAATTAATTTAACTATCTTAACATAGTCCAAGAGACTGGCCTGGTTCATTTAATTCTCTTGAGAAGCGTAAAACAGATCCAATTTCATTGAATTAAAATATTCACTTGGAACTTGGATGTTCTCGCCAGCAATTGGATAATTTAGGTAGTTAAACAGTAAATTAATCAGTGTTCAGCTAAGGGAAGTCAATCAGAGTAGTGACTATTGAGTGGGGTCACACGTCGATCACCGGATTGGCCGCTCCTGAATATCACAGCCTGATTGTTCAGAACTTCTGAACGAACTTTGAGTCGTTCCCCACTTATTGTTTTAGCATTTTGAGGCGGAACGTCCAGGGTTAAAAGGGTATAAAAAGTATAAACAAAACAGCAACTTCCTTTAAGCAAATAATTATCATACGCTGAGTGAGCTATAGATATATCATTTGTAAGTACGCGCATTAGAAAATCATATCAGTTCCTAAACTAGGTGACTGATTTAAATTAGACGCAAGTGTATTTCATTATTAAATCTAAGTAATAAATTAATTTAATCTACAAGCTGCTACTTCAACATTGTTGCTTCACTACAAACGAGGTACGTACACAGTAACATTTTCACACACATCACAATATTTAGCGTAATGGTTTAATTTTGAAGAGGTTAGGGGAGTGTAAGATAGCTCCTTCAGCTTCCATAATCTTTCCCCATTTACCCACACATCTTGATCTAATCTATTACAAATGGTGACCAACGTGGGCGTGTACCCTTCTCCTTTATTTTAACCATTTCATATGGCGCCCTACGTTGAGCCCCTTTACCTCTCCTTTATTTTAACCATTACAGTACAATGTTCGATTTTATAATTATAGCATAGATCATTGATAGGTATTAAGATCATATGTTTACAAAAATCAAAATAATAATAATTCTAAATAAATTTTTATTCGAATGGATTTAAATAAAAGCTATCACGCTAATATGTTGTTAGCTATAGTAAGTTACTCTATAAGCTTTTATGCTCTTATGTACATCTTTTTTTTTAAATATTTAAAGAACTTTGATAACTATTATGTTGTGTCTTTATTTACGGTGTACCAGATGTGAGAATAAAAAATTATTATCGTCTATTGACATTAGTTAAATAATAACAAATGATTAATATTTTTAAAAAAAATCAGTGTCCTCTTCGTTTTAACGTTATCCTTTTTAATACCATTTTTCAACTTTCTTCGTACATTTTAATACATTTGTTAAGAATAAATTATATATAAGAAAATAACATATACTTTTAATTACATTTCAAACGTTTAATATCATTTTACATTTTGAATATTTACGACTTAAATTCAAATAAATGTTGATTTTTAATAAATAAGTAAATAAATAAATTGGACGGTGTTTGGACAAAAGAACACAAGTCAATTTTGGCCATTTTTGGGTTACATATCAACTTTGTAAGAAATTGTATGCTGCGTCGACTGGTCTCACTGTACTGAACATAAGTTTAACGGTTATCAAAATATAAATAATAATGTCGTGTGGACTTATTGACCGGGATTATAGCTAACTTGGTCCTCACCGGTCGGCCTATTGGTGTGGTTTGCCGTTAAAAACCCGGGTGGTCACCCATCCGGGATCAAGCGGTACCGGTCGCAGCTTAACCTCAGGCGCCTTGCGGCAACTGCGATATCCACTGCGCCACACCGTACCCGTTATCAAAATATGATATAGTGTGATTCGACAAAAGTCGTTACATTAACTTTTAAAATATGAAAAATGACACAAGTCAATATGTTTTTTCGTGACCAAGGACACAAGTCTTCAAATTACAATATATTATGAGAAAAACGACACAAGTCAATTTTTTTTTATTATCATTATCATTATTACTTATCATAATATTACGTATTATACGTAATATTATACGTATCATAATAACTGCAATGGGGTGTAAAACCGTACATACCGTCATATCCATTGTTATTTTTGTGCAAAATATTAAATGTCTTAAAGATTTAATCATGTCAAAAAAGGGCAAAAACTCTCATAAAATTAGTAACTATTCCTAGTAAGTAATATGTAACATATTTTATTTTAATTTTCTTAACTAACATTAAATTATTTATAAAATATAACACTTGGCTTAATAAAATCACCAATGTAATATTTTTTATTGTGAATTATTGAATTATTTATGTATTTTATGATAGGTTCTAATTTAAATGGAAGTAACTGTGTTGTACCTACCAAACCGTCAGTAAGTAGAAATCTTGATAAGGAACTATCAGATTATTTAAAAACAAACTTCTACTATTGGAAGCAGAATGTCTTGGTATGTTTACCAATAATGTCAATCATATTGATATAAAACAAAACATTTATAAACACTGTTATTCGGTAGCACTAAATTTAATAGTTCGGTTGTCACGATTATTTTTCAGCCGTCATTATATTTCACTAAACAAACAACCGCCATTTTCTTCGCGTTCGATACCTGAATCATTTTCAATAGGTTTTTTTTCTACAACAACATTAACCGTTTTGTATCACTTTTACAGTTTATAGTTTACTTATTTTGTAAATCCAAATCTGATAAAAATAAATATGATTCTTTGTGAATAAATTATGTACTTTTATCTTAATGCATCGTTTAAAATAACGCTAGTGCAAATCAATTTAAAACATCTATCCCACTCTGCAATTAAGAAAAAACGTTACTTCCTAAAGTTTTAACTTGGGATAAATTGGAATACACTATAAATAAGATATGTACTTAAGATTTTGAAAATATTTCGTGTATAATTTTTGAATTGATAAGATTTTGGTATTATAATTAATATATAAGTATTGTTACAGTGGTCGTTTTTCTGTTAAATTATAATCTGATAACACTTTGACAATATTGACAAAAATTATTTAAATGTATAAGAAAAATATATTTGCTTGAGACACAATGATTTTGGACAAATAAAACCCTGTGCATAATGTAATTGAGAGAGAATAATAGGACCGGCATAATTTGTCTAAAGATATTTAATCGATAAATAATTAATTTAAGAAATATAATTACTATTCATGTAGTATTTATCTTTGGTTTTGCAATGGAGACTACGCCACGATTTCTTTATTTTTCATTTTACTGGCTGTATTGAATGGAAATCCAAATTCATCGTAATTAGTTTTTATAAGGAGGGTTATTTCTTCTTTAAACTTGGCTTTGAGATCGTTGGGCGTTATATCAACGTTTTCCTCTATAAATGTGTTTCGGTCGATGCTACTCAGAATAAAACAATTGGAACCGTAGAATTTGACTAAACGTTTTGATATACCCGTCATTTCGGATTCGATATCAGGATTTTTTGTGACGATTTTGCTGTCTCTGTTTTTGCTAAAAAAATGTTTAAGACCAGTTTTTTTCTTAACGACTTGAGTACTAAAAGACTCGCTGAATCTTTCTAATAAGTCAAAAACCTCTTTGTTGTATCCAACATGTGGAGATAACTGGTGGAAATGCAAAAGCGCATTTCGCATACGCGTGATCAACGGTTCGCTCCTGATTATTGTATCCATGTACTGTTCCTGGTAGGTCGAAGAATGCTTGCTATGTATCTTCTTTATGAGTCTCGCGTAGTCACAACATCTTTTTAACGTTAGCGCATATGTGCAGCTCAATAGACGATGGGCTTCTTTAACTTTTCCGTCTACATTTTCTTTGGTGACAATTTTTCCATCGGTCTTTGTAAGCAAACTCTGGGCGACTTCGTTAGGATTCCGAAAAATATCTTTGCTATTCAAATCCGACCATGCATCCTTTGCAAGGAGATTGTTCATTTGATTTACTCGATGTAACAAGTCTGGATCATACATTAAAATAGTCTTTTTTGTCGCCGAATCATATTTAAGTCCATATTTCTCGTTAAAAGATATTATAAACAAATCTATTATCTCGTCTGTTATGTGTGTCTTGATATATTCCACCGCACTGTGTGGATTACAGGTTGGCTGCAATGCTTTAACGCGGTTCGTTTTTTTGGGAATAGGCCCACAATTACTGTTATAAAATGCACTTACGTGCTCTATGGTAGTCGACATTTTTTTTTGGACAGCTGTAATCTGCTTAGCTAAGGTAGAGACAACATGTCCGGTAGCGCCTAGGTCCCTGTGAAAAGTTAAGTCTCGGTAATAATTTTTCAAATCCTCTAGGATGTTGAACACTTCTTTGTCGATGTGATTTTGTGGAGATAACTGGTGTAAGCACGAAAGCGAACCTCGCATACTCGTAACTAATGAATCCGATTTTTTTAGAATTTCCAGTAAGCTTGCAAAACATATCACAGATTCAGACTGATCTTGGATTCTCATACACGCACTGCCTATACCGCTCTCGTATTCACATAATTCCTCCAACACCTTGGCGTACTTACAGCTTAAAAACTGGTGTACTTGTCGAATTTTACTTTCTAAATTTTCGTTGTTAACTATTCGTTTATCCTTACTAGGTGCGAGTAAATCATATGCATCGATTTCTTCATAAATGTTCATCCAGCGTTCAATTATATGCAATTTGTCCGTTTGGTGCCATTCAAGCCATCCACTGTGACTTAACATATTGTTCATCACATTAACGCGATACTCGGAATTTGCATTCAACAGAAACATCTGCATGGAAATAATAAAAAAAACGAGTACACCATCGACTTGCATAATGAAGTTCATAAGTGCATAATGAGGTTATAATATAGCAATGTGAAGTAATTTTTTTTTTTTTTTTTGCTGTTTAAAACTTCAGGAGTCGATCAAGATACGTTTTTATTAAGGCTGAATGTACGAAAAACTGTGCTCGCCAAAAAACGTAATTGTGCAAAAGCATATACGATGACGATGCGAATGGTTTATTTACACACCATTCATTCTTTAGCATTGGCATGTGTTTAAATGAAAATTTATTAATATTTGGATTGTATACGTTGAGTATGGAACATAAAAAATGTTCCCGTTTAATTGTAAAACCTTTTAGGTTCCATCGAATGGTTTTGTTTTCCATTTTGGTGTACTTGTTAATATATTTACTTATGAACAAAAATTGAAGAATTTGACAATTTTTCGATATTGTCTGAATAACTATACATCGATACGGTTACGTGGGTTTTTTAAAATTTTATTAAAGACGCAAAAACGAAAATCAATCCGAAAACTATAAAAACACATGTCATAGTGACGATTTATTACGTTTTGCATTTATTTCTTGTCGCGAGGTTCAAATAACTGTTTGAACAATGAACACTGTTCACCGTCTTCTAAATTTACTGTGCCACTATACATTTTTGTAAAATATTATAAAATCATACCGTTAAGCGTACATACTACATCGTATAAAAAAAACGTATTTCATAGTAGTTGCGAATAACATATGAACACGTATGTACAACAGAAATATTAAAAACAATCGCTAGATATTTAAACGGTATTTGTAACCTAACCGAATTCTCGTACGAAATATTAATACTATTAGAATTTATATAGTTATGCTTTCTTAGTTGATAGTTTTTAGAAAATGTGAGCGAAATTTTTCGCAATTTTTTTTCTTACCTCTC